AAATATTATTGGAATCTAAGAGAACACAAAAGGGCAGGGGAACTTTTCTAACTCCCCCTATGAGGCTTGTTTTTACAGAGGCGGCTTATCTGACATAGACTGAGCAAACAGAAGCAAACAAGCCAGAGCTGATCTCCAAGGCTTGCCTGAGACAAGAGTGCAGAGAACGGGGTGGGGAGGGAGAGGGAGTATCCAGAGGTGGGGACCCACCAATAGAAATTCAAAACTCCCCTTAATACTTTTTCATGTGTGAGTTGCCCAATACCTAGCCAATGAATTTCATCCAAGTTTCTTTGCCCACTTTTTAGCCAATAAAATTTAACTCCTTTGTCCTTAACACCTACCCCCAAAATCTGTATTACCTTATTACCTTTCTTAAAGGGGAGGTAGATATGCGTTTATCTCCTGTCTCCTAGCCAACTGATGCACAATAAAGCTGATTTCTTGACTCAAAATACCCCTAGTGTCATAATTTGATTTGTGCTCATGGGGGGCGGACCCACTAGCTTGAAACAAGTTTTCAAAATTTAAACTGCAACACAAAAACATTCTTCCACAGAGAAAGACAAATACTACATAATTCCACTTATTTGCGGAATCTGAAAAACTAAGCAAAACATAACTCAGATACAGAGAACAGATTGGTAGGTAACAGAAGGGAGGAAGTCTGGGAGGTGGGGGGCAAAATGAGTGGAAGTATCAGTTATAAAATAACAAAGTCACAGGCGATGCAGTGTATAGCGTGGGGTTTCTAGGCAGTGATATAGTATGGCAAACTAGAAAAACTGCTAAGAATAGATGGGAAATAGACTTATTGTGCTGATCATATCACAATGTATACAAAGTCAAATCATTATGTTGTATAACTGAAACTAATATAATGTATGTCAATTATATTTCAATTTTTAAAGAAAAAACACCCTTCTGTGATATGGAAGATGTGTTTGGTTCTGGGGGAAAAAAATGTAAAGATTAGTCATCTTGAGCATGACTTACCAACCATTTCCATGATTAGAGCAGCCCAAAATCCAAACAGAACATGGATCAAGAAAATGAACCAGGGGCCTGCCTGGTGGCGCAGGAGTTAAAGACAGTGCTATCAAGCTATCTGCAGCCACTATAGCACAGCGTTCTGATCCCCAGCAGGCCAGGAAGCTAATCCACATGGCTTAGTAGATCTCTCCTGTCTCACCCACTGCTCCCCTCAGCAGTGTACTTCAGTATATCTGCCTGTTCTGCTCCCCACTCTGTCTCTGGTGAATCCTCTTACTTCCCTCCCTCTACCTCTGGCCTACACCCCAGTTCTTATATGCATAAATAAATAAATCTTTAAAAAAAGAAAGAAAGAAAGAAAATGAACTAAAGATATTTCCTGTTAGGTACGTTTAAGTCTCTTCCAACGTTGGCCTGGCACATTGAGCCCTCAGGGAAGAAGGCCTGGGTCCACAGAGCTCACCTGTCCTTCCTTTTCCATATTTAGTTGGCTTTAAAGGCCCCTAATTCCCTAAGAAACAAGAACGCCCCATTCTGTCCTCCCAGAATGCCTGCGTAGCTTCCCAGAATGCCCACACATTAAGTGTTATCATTTGTCTCCAAACACAAAAGCTACATCTTGATTAAGTGATGCAGATCAATGAACTTGATCTTCCACCAATATTTAACATTTCTAATCTAAATCAGATTTTTAATTCCCCAGGTATCAAGATTTTTCCTGTTTGAATTACATGGTTAATAGTAAGACTGACCTGCAATCAAATGGCTCCTAGGTTTCGAGATGGAAAACGTGCTCTGGAAACAGAGTCACACACATTAAGATCATTAAGCAGAGTAGAGCTTTCTCTGGCTGAGTTCTCATGGGAAGGAGTTTCTCTAGTGAAAAGCAACAGGACAAAGTTTGACCCAACATCTCCTTGCAGTTCTCTCTTGCTCAGACTTTAACTGCATTCTGAAACCAAGGCAAAAACCTGAAGAAAAAAAAAAACCTGAAATGGGGGCTGCCTTTTGTGTTCTTAACTCGTGTACCAAAGGCCATTGTGGCTCTGCACAGAGCCCCATCCACTGCACACAGTGCAGGGCACTCCTGCTGGGCAGGAGGCAATGACATACTCCAATCCGGGCCCTTACAAGCAAACAGTGCTTTCTCTCTCCCACTGCACCCTCCAACATTTCCACAGGCCAACAAAGAAGGGGTGAGAACTCCAGCAGAAGTCCATTGAGTCCCCACAAGGGGACCTTTCAACGCCCACCCTCAAGCACCGCCTGAGGATGAGATCAGCCTCTATTCTATAGGCAATGAAACAAGCTGACTTTGTGACCAGTTGGCCAGTGCCCTGTGAGGCCCTAAAGATGGAAAGGGATTGGTTGCGCCCACAGAGCCTTCATTCCCTATGCAGGGAGCCCAGCCAAACCATTTTTAAATAAATAAATTCAGTCAATAGAAATATTTACAAGGCCTCTCTAAAGGTCAGAGTTAGCCCTTTCCCTACCCTTTACTCTGACCCCAAATCACACTGCACACACACCACAGCTGGGGGCTCACCTCTCTAAACATCCCCCATTTCTGTGACAGCCTCCTACTCAAGACTATCTAATAGCTCGCTGTTTGCCATTAGACATGGTCAAATACCTCACCTTCATACTGAAATTCCTATAACATCCATGTCCCCTCTTTCCTCCAGTGCAGCCTTATTCGTGTTCTCTTCCCTTCTCTCAACATACACAACCTAGTAGCTATGAACACATTCAGCCTGGGTTCAAATCCCAACTCTACCACGAGGAGCTTGAGACCTTAGGGAAGTACTTGAATGACGCTGTGACTCAGTTTCTCCATCAGCAGAGTGGGATGATAATAGCACCTACTGCTCAAGTGAGGACAGCAGCAATGAACTGAGATGACACAGGAAAATGCTCAGAATAAACCCTGGCTCACACTATCATTCAATAAATATTAGCTACCAAAATACTTATTATCACACAAGCCATTTCTTCCAGGAATCCTTCCCTAGCAGTATCAGTCAATATCTCAGTTCCTGAAATGCTCTAGACCAGTCAGAAAGCACAGATACTGGCTGGACTTGTCAGGGACTGTTTCACGGGGCAGGATACTTGAAATGGTAACCAAATGTTAAATTTATTATTATGAAAGTCATAAAAGATACACCGGTAGTTCCCAAATGGCCTTGACTATCAGGAACAATGTTTCTGACAGGTTCAGAAACAAACATATATTAAAATCTTATACAGCTTCATATGTTGTTTCTTGGAGCCAAAGCTCAATTCCACTGAGACGGAAAACTTCTTACAAGCCACAGACATCTGTATACACTGACAGTCCTCACCACAGGGAAATGGTGGGGATGCAAGTCAGTGCTTTTTGAATTTGAAAGAGAACATTAAATTACCCCAAAAACAAAGCCAGTAAGTGGGAGATTTAAGTGGCTCTTCCAGAAGAGTTAAACTCTACCCTTTCAGTATTCCTCTGCACAAACGGCACAAACAGAAGATGAAACTATGCTAGTAGCAAGGGATACGCTGGCCACCACCATGGAGATGGAGGAGAACCTGGTTTCGACCACTGAGGGTGGCCTTCATTCTTGTTCTCTCTGCCTCCAAAGGTCTTGCCTCCTCTCACATGGCAGTTACTATTTTCTACCTTGTTTATGCCTCAGAAACAATGCATGTATCAGAGGATTGTGTGTTTTCTCTGCCTTGTTTATAAGTGTTCTTGTTATGTTTCAGAAGTTCTATGTTTCAGAAGTTCTTTCAGAGCATACACAATCACAATTATGAAAGTATCATCCAGCAGAAAGCTCTAATGCATGGATAAGAAGATATTCAATTCTTTTAAGAAAATGATTGCTTTGAAGTACTTGAGAGTATTTAAAAGTCTGGTGTTACAGCTCAAGATTGGGGAGAACAAACACTTCCTGGGGAGTTGTTCCTGGTGATGTCACCTCCACTGTGAGGGGTGCATGGGAGCCCTGCCCCTGGCCTCCCTCTTCTCACTCTGCTGAACCCCCAGGGATGCAGTGCTGAACATAAACTCTAAGGGGAAGAAGGGATGGGGTTGCTAGCCTTTCCTCCTTTCCTGTGGCTGAGAGCAGTCCCGAGGGAAAACACCAGCTATTCTTCCTGGCAATCTGTGCCCCTCATAGGAGGCCTGAGCTAGCCCATTCAACTCCCCAGGTGGGTGACTCATTTGGGGTTCAGTAGAAGGCAGTTCACTCCCCTGGAGAGAAAGCCAATTGTCTCACATCAGCTTTATGAAGGATAAAGGTGATTATCTGTCATCTACTTGTTGACATCGTAGTCTTTTTGTCATTTCGTTCAGAACTGGACAAGGAAAGGATGGTGGTGTTTATTGGGGGTCCCTCAAACACCCAACAAATTCCCCATATCATTGGACTAACCAAGAAGTCTACTATGGGGAAAAGGAAAGCTCCAGAAAAGGGTGCTTTAAGTATCTACATCAGAGTCACCTGACAGGTCCATCTCTGCATACACTGCCCAAGAAAGGGCTGAAAATCCAACCCACCTCCCCCAGAAATACCCACCATGTCCATAAAATTAACAACCACTCTACAGCCCTCCTCATTGTGGGATTATTTACATGTTATCAGGCTTCAGACCAAATTGTTTTATAACAGCTGCTACTTGAAATACTAGTACTCACCCTTATGATAAAGGCAAAGTAAAAACCACAAACCCACAAGAAAAAACTATACACCTAAGGAGGAACACTTATAAACAAGGCAGAGAAAACACACAATCCTCTGATACATGCATTCTCCACCAAAAGGACCACCCAGCATCTGTACAGAAGAGCCAGGTATTAGGTGTTTGGGGTCTGCTGCTTGGCAGGCCAGCACTGAAGAGGCTTCAGGAAGATTCAGAAAGTATACCCAACCTCAAGGTTGGATGGCCCGATCCTCTAAACTGAGTGTCTCCCACACACCCTCATCAACTGTCAGAATGGGAAGCGCTAACAGAGACAGACTCACGCGCTCTTTCATCTCATTGGCCACAGTCGTAGACATCATGATGCAGCAGAGGATGGCAACCAGGATGAAGTAGAGTGCGTACATGAAGCGGGTGCCCCGGGACTGTCGGATCTTGGGGCAGCAGTCGCAGCAGAGGGAACAACCGGCAGTCCCACAGCAGCAGGCCAACTAGAAAAGGAACATAAAATATTCTCTTAGACATCACTCCTTTACAAGCCTGGAGCCCAGACTTCTGCAGATCAACCTATGAGTTACCAGTCTTCCAAGGCATCCTGTCCATGGGGCATGCGGGGTCAAGTGTGTGAGAACAAAGCTTCCACCAGAATAGGTGGGTGTTGCCTTTAATGTCATGCTTGGGAGATAATGACAGAGAAAAGGCCCAGTTCACCTGAAGCACTATAATCCTTACTTTAGATCCAATAAAGATTTCTGGGACCTGTGAGAATAAGAGAAGTCCAGCACTAGACAAAGGACAGGGTAAGGTGGGAAAAACATGGAAAACAGAAATTGGGCCCAAAAGAGGCACTTGTCCAACTCCATGAGCCCAAGAATGAACCCTATGAACACGCAGGGCCATGTTGGGATGGGAAAGGCTAGTATGCTGCATCCACCTGCCTGCAGGAATCAAGAGTAACTGGAAGCTCAAAAGGCCACCAGAGCACCAATCCCCTAAGGGTGAGCTCTTAGGCAGGGAGTGGGATATGACTAGAGGTTGGTGGGCTATGCAAATGGACTAAATTTGGGGCTATTAAGTAAAACACAGATTAAGGTTTCAGGTTTGGATCTGGTGGGGTTTTTTGTCTGTTTTAAATACTATTTTTAAGAGTAATTAAAGGTTTATAATAAAATTGAGAGGAAGATACAGAGATATCCATATACCCCCCCTACTCCCACATGTGTAGATCCCTTATTATCAATTATTGCTCACCAGAATGGTATATTTTTAACCAAATTTAACTTACATTTACACACTGTAGTCTCCCAAAATCCACAGTTAACCTAAGGGTTCTCTCGGTGTTGTATATTCAATATGTTTGGATAAATGTGTGATGACATATGTCCATCATTATAGCACCATACAGAGCATTTTCACAGCCCTAAAAAGAACCTAGATCTTCAAGAGAGCAGTGAGCAATCGAGGATAGGCTATATGGTCGGGCTCAGAGTCAGCCCGCCTGGGTTTGAAATGGGCTCTGCCACATATCAGCTATGGACTATGAACAAGCTATTTGACTTTTTAAGATTTAGATTCCTCATTTATAAGCTGAGGATGGTAGCAGTACTTATGCTGAGGTATTTTGTATGATTTCATGGGACACACCTGCATGTATTAACACTATCCTCCATGTAAATCCTAGCAAAATTCAATCTATCGGTAATAATTCAGAAGGAAGTTTGGGACTTTTGAAATTCATGGCTTCAAAACAAGCATCAATTCAAATGCTACATGATAAACATTACTTACAATGAAAAGGGGTCATAGGTGTACATGTACAAGAACACCAGCTGTCAACATAATGATGTTGTAACGGAAGTTAGAAATGTAGTCATTTCCTAAGTTAATTCATTCACTTTGTGAAATTGCCATTGTTGGACCGTGTGATATAATACGATATACAGATGACACAGAGTTCCTAAATTCAAAGCAATAAGAACATAGGAGATTCGTTCTAATGTCTTTGGCCCCATGCCTGACAGAGCTCCTAAAAGCCTTGTAAATTCTTAAGTGATAAGAGCACTGGGGGTATCTTTTGTTCTAACATTTGGTCTTTGACCCTGGTTCCAGACACAGAGCTCCTGAAATCCTTGTAATTCTGGGTGGTAGTGTGTGTTTTGTTCTAATGAGGCCAGTCAGGGTGACTCTTGAAGGAGGATTTGTCAGCAGAAAGACCCAGTGATGATTAGAAGCTTGAAATTTTCATTAATGTCCCCTAAACTTGTGGAACCTGATACTATCTTCGGGTAAGTAGTGTCAGAATGGAGTTAAATTGTAGGGTACCCAGCAGATGCCAGAGAGATTTGCTTGGTGTAGGGGAAAACCTCCACACATTTGATTAGAAGTGTGTTCTTAGAAATGAAGTAGTTTCTCTGGTAAAGTAAAGGAGATACACAGAAAAGAAACACATAGTAGGGCAGAACTGGGCTTTTCCCTAAATATAGGCAGGAAAACACTAAGGTCATCCTTAAATGCACTACTTCATCGCTTACAATTTTTACTAATGTACTTTTTCATCTTACATTCAATTTTCCTAGCCAGCTTGTAAGACTCTTCTTGTCTTATAAGATTAGGCCATTGCTTTGTAAGATTAGTTATAGATCACATAAGTAGGACCCCAAATATTACACATGTGGTATTCTGTGGGTCACTTTTCAATTCACTCATTCATATTCTTTGAATTTTATTGACCTCTTTCCACTTGCACAAATCTCTTCCTCCCAGTCGCCCATCTGGCTCTCTCAACTTAGCTGGCTTTTCTCCAGGCCCTCTTCCTTCCTCCTCAGCTTCCCAAACTCTTTCCCACTGTCTCCTTCATTGTTTGCTAATATTTTAAGCTCTAAGGTCTTAGATAACCAGTCTTAGTGTATTTCAAATTCAAATACAATAAACAAAATATCCTCTTTGGGGAAAGAAATATTTTAGAAGTAGCTAATGCTTCCCATGATAGAACTTTCCCACAGCAGAATCAACACTTAAATGCACTATCTCCACAGTGGGGGAAAAATGAACAGATACATAATGTGAACCTAACTGATAATTTAAAGACAGACAAACAATGAAACTAATAATATTATATATCGACTGTATCTCAAAAAAAATTTTAAAGGACAAATAGTGACAGATGGGTGTGATTATAGAAAACATGAAAAGAAAATCATACTAGTTTAATTCTATTCATCATTGAGGTCATAAGTCATTGAATCAATCTGATTTGTTAAACTTTCCATTTCACTTTCAACTATAATTTTTTTTTAGATTTATTTATTTATTTATTTATTTATTTATTTATTTATTTATACAAGCACTGGGTACAGTCAGAAGCGCGGGAGGGTGAGAGAATTCACCAGAGCCAGAGCGGGGAGCAGAGCAGGCAGAAGGACCGAAGTACACTGCTGAGGGGAGCAGCGGGCGGCAGGAGGGGTCTGCGCGCCATGTGGGACCCTCCTCCGGTGGCTCGGGAAGAGCCGGGGATCAAACCAGCGCTGCAGAGGCTGTGGGCAGCTTCACAACCCAGTGCTCAACCACTGCGCCACCAGGGAGGTCCTCCATTTCACTTTCACTCGATGTAGTGCTATATTTTAAAAACCGTATTTTTTTTTTTTTAGATTTTATTTTTATTTTGACGTAGAAGAACTGTGGTACAGGCGAGAGGTGCGGGTGTGTGTGTGTGTGTGGATTCACCAGAGACAAACTGCATATGTTTATATGTGTGCATACATATGTGTGTACGTATATACATATATGCCTAATATTAAAATCTAATAGCTATTCTCTACTAACGTAAGTTATTTATCAAAACAAACTATGTCAATAACCAAAGGAACAAGTGTATTATGTCAAGCTAAATGTTGATTTTTACACTAAGTGGAAATTTGATACAGCATCCATAAAATAAATGTTACATTAGCATCAAGAAAAATCTCAGAGCCCTGCTGACTTACCCCTACTTTCCTGAAGAACATAATTTAGAATAAAATGTATTTACATCCAGCCCTTGCCACATGCAGCTTTGTTACTCTGAGTATGTTATTTCTTCAATTTTCATCTTCAAAACTAAAAAAAAATCAATTCCTAGCCAGTCTAACTTCCAGAGCTGTCCATGTGTGAAGAGAATCACGTGTCTTATTATCCCTGATTCCAGAGGGCCCAAAACTTTTACCTGAGCAAGTCAGTAAAAGAAAAATACAAATAAATATAGAATGCACACCATCAAGAATGAACCCTAATGTAAACTATGGACTTTGGATTAATAATGTCAATATAGGTTCACCGATTATACTAAATGGACCACTCTGTTAGGGGAGTTGATAAGAGGGAGGTCATGCATATGTAGGGGCAGGGAATACATGAGAAATCTCTTTATCTTTCTCTCATTTTTCCTGTGAACCCAAAACAATTCTAAGAAATAAAAGCTACTGTAAAAGCAATAAAGGAAAAAAAAACAGTATGGCTCAATAAATGGAGGAATAATGTATGGTAAAGTTTCAAAAACAACATTCCCAAAACAAAGAGGCTGACAATCTCACAACACAGGGCTAAGAGGTCAAGTGCTATACTTGAATTTTTCACACCAGCATTATATCACAAAGTCTATTACAGTTTTCATTTGCAGATACTGTACGTTTGCTTTTTCCACAAGAAATTATTATCAACTCAAGACAACCTCTTTGGAGGGCAAAGCTTGAAATTCTTTTAAAAGTTCTTTCTGCAGGTACAGAACGCGGAGATTGCACAAGAACGCAGAGATTTAAGTATGAGGTTGTACATAACAAGCATGGAAACAGTCTTATTCTCCACTACACAGGGACTGGGTAAATGAATTATGGACTAACTAAATAGTAAGGCACAGTTAAAAAGAACAAAACAATGTTATAAGCTGACTTGTATCACTTTTCCAAAATTCATAGGTCGAAGTCCTAATTCCCTGTACCTCAGAATGTGACTATATTTGGTAATAGGGTGCTTAAAGAGGTAAGAAAGTTAAAAGAGTCATTGGGGTGGGCGCTGATCTAATATGACTGGTGTTCTTTCTGATAAGAAGAGACAATTGGGCATAGACACACAGGAAGAAGAGCAGGCGAAGATTCAAAGAGAAGGTGGCCACCTACAAGCCAAGGAAAACAGCCTCAAATGAAACTAACCCTTCCTACTCCTTAGCCTCTAGAACTGTGAGAAATTAAGTATTTGCTGTTTAAACCACCCAATCTGTGGTACTTTGTTATAACAGTCTCAGCAAACTTAGTATAGTCAAGTATGACCTGCTATTTTATACATATGCATGTCTGTGTGTAAAGCTTTTGTGTACATATACAGTGACCTGTACAGAGGGCTGGTCTGAGCAGGAAAAGAGGACATTTACTTTCCTACTGTTCTGTTTGGGTTTTTACCATGTGCCTTTATTACTCTTCTGATTAAAAAAGAGAAAAAAATGACTAAGAAAAGCAACTAA